ACACAAAACAAATTTTTCTGCTTATGGAAGAAGTATTATAAAAGGTATCAGGGTCATAATTATATATTAAAATAGTATAGTCTTATCTGAATTATATTTGGTCTTTGTCCATGTTTCTGGCACAGAGATCCTAAAACTGTTGGAATTTGCTAAGTGCTAGGAGATACTTCTGTTACTCTTGATAAACCCCCTGTGATCCCATTGGTGGCCTGGGGAAAGACTAAGTGACAAGAGGAGTGGAACATTCTGCCCCACCCATGTCCTCTGGGAAGGGTGGTGCTGGACCTTGTGCTCTATAAAAACCCTCGCACAAGATTTCCAGAGCTGTATTTCTGAACACATGAAGGTGCTGAGCTCCTGCAGTGCCTCCTCTCCTCTAAACCTTGCCCCATGATCTGTTTATCTATGTCCTTTATTATCTTTTATAATCTGGTGTGTTAAGTAAAGTTTTCCCTGTCCTAGCAAATTATTAAATCCACTGAGGAGGTAGTAGTGGGAACCCAAATATAATCTTGCTGGCTGGAAGTGTAGGTGACAACCTACTAGTTGCAGGTCACATTTGAAGTGGGGGCAGCCTTGGGATGAACCTATATCCTCTGGGGTCTGCACTGTCTCTAGGTAGGGCCAGAATTTAATTGCATTATAGGACACCTGGTTGGTATCTACTGAATTATTTAATGTGAACAACAACAGCAACAACAACAACAACAAACCCTCACATCTGATCGCAGTAGTGTGCTGTGTTGAGAGTATAGTAGGAGAGAAACAACCTGTCTTCAGAATTGGTGTCTGATATGTGTGAAGAGAGGGAAAAAACAGCTTGTTTTTCCTTTACAAACAGATTGTAGGGAACCATGGTGATTTTATCATTGTTTCTTTGAAGGCCACACTACAGCTGACTGGATTAGTCTGGTCATTAACTTCCCACCTTATAAGCTATGTGCAAGAACTACAAGATGATCTAACTGCTTGTCAGGTCTTAAAGAATAGCATTTCTGTCCCTATCTCAATGTAATGTCAGAAGTCCCTTTCAAGTACTGTGCAACATACATGTTTTATTTTGATCCCCTTAATAACCTTTAAAGTTAATCTTTACATATTTGTTAATTTTACCCAGAAGGACTATTTCTAGCAGTGCCAAAGACACTGGGCCCCGTTGAATAAAACATTTCTGTCTTTACACAATACCTGGCTATTCTAGAACCGAATAGCTGGACCACTATGACCTAATGAAAGCATTCCAAGGATGAAGTTTCTGGACTCCCCTCCTCATGTTAAAATACAAACATGTAATGAAAAAAGTAAAAACCCCAGCCTTTCACCCTGATGGTGCAGTTCTCTCTTGAATTTTCCCACTGCTCTCTTGGAGATTATTATTGTTTATTTATTTTTTTATTTTATTTTATTTTATTTTATTTTTTGGTGCCAGGGATCGAACTTGGATCTTTTTGCTTGAAAGGCAGGCGGCCGGATCTTGGAGATTATTGCTAAATTCTTTTTACTCCTAGGCTGTGCCCCCACGGCATAGATAATTTTGTTCATTAATGTTTCTAGCTAAAAAATTTTTCATGTATCTTTAAACATTTGAAACAAGTCTAGGTCAGTTACATTTCGTGCTTTCTTTCAAAGAAGGAATAATAGCTGGGCATAAGTGGATACATCTGTAATCCCAGCTACTCAGCAAGGTGAGACAGGAAAATTACAAGTTTTGTCTGGTTAACTTAGACAAAGATAAAATATTTTAAAAGGGCTCAGGATAGCCAGGCATGGTGGCACCGGCCTGTTATCTCAGCACTGGGGAGGCAGAGGCAGGAGTATTGCTTTAAGTTTGGAGTTTGAGTTCAAGGCTGGCCTGGGCTACAAAGTGAGTTCAAGACCAACCTGAACTGCATAGGGAGACCTTTTTTCAAAAAGACCCCCCCCCAAGAAAAAAGGACTGGGACTAAGGATGTAGGTCAGTGCAAGCAGGCCCTGGGTTCAATCCCAGTACCACAAAAAAAGAAAAGAAAGAAAGATGGAAAGAAAACAAAAGAAAGAGACAGTTCGGAAAGATAGAAACCACTGTTCTCTTAATTTTTATATCTTTAATTTTGACATGAATATATAAAATAAACTCGTAAAAAGTGAATAAAATTAAATCAGAAAAAAATAAACCATATGATTTTAGGTTCTCTCGATTTTGCTTTCCCCAAATGAGAAATTTAGGTGTCTTTTAAAATGTTCAGATAGTGTATAAATGCAGTCTCATTAAAATTTGCAGCCCAGGCTTTAGCTCAGTGGTGCCATACCTGCCTTGTAAGCATAAGATCCTGACTTTGATGCCAGGTACCCAAATAAATAGATAAATAGATGAGTGAACTTGAATGCATTATGAAGAATGAATGTCTCATAGTGGTGTTTTCAACACAACCATTGTGGGTTTTGCTGTTTTTAGATACGGCTTTATATGAAATCCTTGCTGACTTTATTATAAAGGCTACAAATCTTTCACTTCTTTGGTTGGGTTCAGAGCAAGAATATCTTCTATGCATCTATCATATTCAGAACTTTAAAATATATAATACTTCTGTACCATCTACAACATATTTTCCAACTTCTCAGTTGTCTCAGTAATGTCCTTTATAGAATATTGCATTGTTTTCTGATGTGCACTCCAGTCTGTGATCAGGTTTTACATTTAATTATCATCTGTTAAGTTTTAAGTTGCAGTAGTTGTTAGTCTTTCATGACATTAACATTTTCTAAGAAAAGATTACTTTGTACTGTTTTTTGATTCTTGATAATGTGAATAATCAGATAAGTTTCTTGTAATTGTAGTCATATTTCAGTACCACATTTCTATGAAATAGATGAAATAAATCCATAGAGACAAAAAGATTGGTGGTAGAGGAAGGGAAATAACTTAGTGGGTATGATGTTGCCTTATAGGTGATAAAAATACTGTGAAACTACATGGAGGTGGTGATTGTAAGGTTAAGAGTTTCTTTATGCCTTTGACTCACTTTCAAATAGTTAATTTATGTTACCTGAATTTCACTTCAGTAAATATTAATTTTTAAAAATCTTATGTAAATGGTTTTGCTGCTCCCTAATAGACTGTAAATTTCCTAGTAAATAGAAATTTCATTTGAAAAAAATGTAAGAAATAAAAAATTTACTGCATGATAATTGCAGTGATTCAAAGACATAAACATCACAAATCCCAGTTCTCAGTAGGAAAATTGACAAGCAGAAGAATCTATTACTTCAAAATATTAACATTTAATTTGTAGTTTTTAATTTTGAAAATTCTCACATTTATGATGAGTACAAAAGGACAACGGTTACTTCATTTTTGCAGGGGGAGGTACCGGGGATCGAACTCCAGTCCTTGAGCTTACGAATCAGGCATCAGAACCACTGAGCTAAATCCCCAGCTCAACTTTATATATTTTCAAGCCAATTTACATGATTTCTAATGTTAAATAACAGGTTTTCTGTGACAAAAAAAGTTCTGGCATATTAAACTTTGAAAAGGCCAGGGGATTTAGCTCAGTAGCACACACTGCCTCACAAGAGCAAGGTCCTGAGTTTGATCCCTGGTACGAAAAAAAAAAAATTAAACTTAACATTTAAATTTAAACATTAAAACTCTAGGTGTAGACACTGTGATTCCACTCATCTAACTAAGGCAGCCAGGCTGGCTTCACTCTGTATCACCATGGCCATCATTAAATCTCAGCTGTAGGTTTAACAGGGCCACTGCAAGCCTTCTGTTTTCCTGTAAAATATAATGAAGCAGAAACCTTTGGCGTAAGAAGAAAATGGAAACAAGTACCATTTGGTATGTATTTCTGATTAACAAATAAACAGGGATATCCCTCCCAGAGTAAATAAATAAATGTATTTCTGGGTCTAGCTTAAGAATTGGAGGCTGGAGATTTAGCTCAGTGGTTCTGCTGCCTGCCTCACAAGCACGAGGTCCTGAGTTCGATCCCAGGTGAAAAAAAAAAAAAAAAAAAAAAATTGGAAAAG